CCATTATTCATGGAAGTTTGCCACTGCCAACCTCCAGCTTTTGCTGTCCTTGTCACCTCTGCCCCTTTTACTTCTGTATTTTAACAAAGCCCCACTTGTTCTCCCTGGACCACTACAAATCTGCAGTCATAATCATCATCTCCAACCTCCTCCTTGCTCCCTGATGTGATGTCCTCCACCAGATCTTGCCAAGTGCCAGGTTCAAAAGACCTGGTGGAGGACCTGATAGATCAAAGTGCAGCAGGGACACCAAGCATTCCATCATGCACCCATTTTAGCTCTACCAGTACTCACAGCATCCTCTTCTAAGCAGTTATTTCTGGAACTGTGTATCTGAGCTCATTAGTTAGAACATCACCAGCAACCAACTGGTTAGAAACGAACAAATTACCGTAACACTCCAAATTAAACCTTCCTGTACAGTTGAAAAGTACAAGTATTCACCCCAGGAAGTGCCTTGGAATTCAGAACACAGAGATCTGGGGAATGTTTGCTGGTATTTGCCAAGCTTTGGGTAATTCATGAAGGAAAATAAGTCCCTATCCCCTCAGTCTCAGCGTTGCCTTTCATGTTGAGGTGTATTGCCTGGAGAAGTGGTTGTACTGAAGCTGGTTTATTCTGCTCAGTTAAAGCTGTAGCAGTTTAATATAAATGGGAAAGATTAAGCAGCAAGCCCATGGACTTCCTTCAGATGTTAGCAAACAATTTGGCTGTTAATTTCTACCTGTTTGACTTTAAATGAGTTGCAGTTAAACAGAGTTAGCTCTGTGTGCAGTTCTGCGAGGCAAGAGAAAAGCAGTGGAGGATGCTGGTTTGCTCTGACTGGGGTTTGCTTGCCTGGAGCTCTTGTGGGCATTGGCCAGGAGGAGATGGTATGGCAAGGTCATCTCTGGAGATCACCTACTTCTTGGGAGCGCATCAGGGACTGTAGTGATAGGACAAGGGGTGATGGGTTAAAGCTGAAACAGGGGAAGTTTAGATTGGATATAAGGAAGAAGTTCTTTACTGTGAGGGTGGTGAGGCACTGGAATGGGTTGCCCAGGGAAGTTGTGAATGCTCCATCCCTGGTGGTGTTCAAGGCCAGGTTGGACAGAGCCTTGGGTGCCATGGTTTAGTGTGAGGTGTCCCTGCCCATGGCAGGGGGGTTGGAGCTGGATGATCTTAAGGTCCTTTCCAACCCAAACCAGTCTGTGATTCTGCAGCAGCGTAGAAGGCATCCTCAGCTGCATGGCTTGTGCTTAGAAGTTTCTGTTGATGGTGCCGACGTCTCAAACAAAAGCGTCTTTCCAAGAGCCAGCAGGAAAGCAAAGGATGTGGTAGCTGCCTTGTGAGGACAAACCTTCAGCCCTGGGTCACACACCCCATCAGAGCAGCTCTCCAAAAATCTGGTGTTTCAACCACAAAAGCCTCTCTTCCTGTTCCAGGGACATCTGTTTGTGACATAAGAAGTGGGGTCCAGATATAGAATCACACCCAGGGGGGAAAAGACCTTAAAGATCATCAAGTCCAACATTTCTCCCAGGACTTCCACATCCAGTCTACTAAACCATGTCACTAATAGAATCGTGGGATCAGCTGGGTTGGAAAAGACCATCAGGTAATGGGGTTCTGTGAAATTCTGGGCCCTGCTCCGCCATTGGGTGCATTTAGTAGCTTTGGTGCAGGTTTGTTTCTCATCATAACAGCAGGAAACGTTCTCTGCAGCCATTCATCAAGTGCCCATCAGCAGTGCTGTCAGTCCCGGTGATTTATCTGGGCTCTCGGTGCCAAACATTAAGCTGCCCGTTTTACAAGGAAGAGAGTTTCACACGTGGCACCATGGAAAATGACTGTGTCAGTCCAAAGAAGCTAGCAGTGGTTACAGTGTCCGTTTGCGTTCCTCATAAAGAGAATCCTGTCAAACCCTGTCTCGCGTTTCACAGCCATGATAAGAGCCCCTGAAGAATATGCTGATGGAGAAACGCTTTCAAGCTCTTTTATCTCCTTTCATGCAGCAGGGGGGTGTGCTCCTTAGCTGGGGAGTTTGTGTGGTGACACAGAGAGATCCTTTGTACCAACAGGGATTGCAGTGACAGGACAAGAGGTGATGGGTTCAGACTTAAACAGGGGAGGTTCAGGGCCAGGTTGGACACAGGGGCTTGGAGCAAGCTGCTCCAGTGGAAGGTGTCCCTGCCTGTGGCAGGGGTTGGAGCTGGATGAGCTTTAAGGCCCCTTCCAACAGAAACAGTCTGGGATTCTGTGACTCTAACAGAGGAGCAGTTTGTGAGCTGGGGTTTGCTGTCTCACCGAAGGCTGTGCTGCTGCAGAGGTCAGTGATTTTGGGATGCACAGTGTTACAGACCAGGTGTGCCAGATGACTGCAGCTCTGCACTGGAAAGTGAGCTCGTTTGTCTTCTTCACTTTGGTGCCTTGCTTTGGGCTTTGGCCCTGCGAGGTGTTTTCCTCACCCCCATTTGTAAAGCATGATGTAAAACCTAATTTTTACCTGTGATACTGATCGTATGTTGATCAATCCCTGTCTGCTCGTGTTCTCTCAAGTCAAGTTGTGGCAGGTCTCGGGTTGAGCTGGATTCTGGGGCTCTTTCCATCCCTGTGGCCATGACTATCCATGTCAGCTGCCTCCACTTGGAGTTTTATCTACTAAATACTTTGTCCACACGTAATCCAGCTATTTCCTTTTTGTTCTCCATATGTTTTGCTAGAAACGAACGCAAGGTGCTGAGAAAGTCATTCCAACTGGTATATGAAGTGTCCTTGGACAGCATGATGTGAGGGTTTGGTGCTCGGACAGCCCGTCCTTGCTGCTGGTGGGATGGCTGGCTCCCAGCTTGGTAGGACCAAGCTGCATCAAAAGGAGCCATACGTGGCTTAGCACAGGAACCCTCTGAAACCTGGTGTGGTGCTTCCTGATCCCTACAGGGACACACGATCAGTGTCTGTCCTGCGCACAGTGCAGTGTTAGGAGAGGGAAAAGCCATCCAAAATGATCAGTGCGTTACAGCACATTAAAGATATGAAGCATCTTTATCACAGTGCAACATGGGTAGAGGTCTGGAGGCTCTATAGCTACTCACATCCATCAGATCCTCCTCAGGAGATGACTAAACATCCTCCTCTCCCAGGGCCCATGCATAGCTGTCGGTGCTGCAGCAGCTGAGCAGCTATCTATAGCCCCGTGTGCTCTGAGCCAGCTCCTCTGCTCATCCTAAACTGGTTAGTTCAGATCAATCCTTCAGCCTGAGACATCCAGGAAGCTGCAGGGTGCTGCGGGAACTGGCTCTGCAGTTCTAACTCTTCACTCGGTCACTTGGTAAGAGCAGCTGCAGCGTGGTACCAGGGCTGCTGGCTAAGAGAAAGTGAAGGATTCCTCATGGTGAAGCACGATCTACTCTGCTCTCATGAGACCTCACCTGGAGCATTGTGTGCAGTTCTGGTGTCCGCAGCATAAAAAGGACATGGAACTGTTGGAACAAGTCCAGAGGAGGCCACGAGGATGATCAGGGACTGGAGCACCTCCTGTATGAAGACAGGCTGAGGAAGTTGGGGCTGTTCAGCCTGGAGAAGAGAAGGCTGCGTGGAGACCTCAGAGCAGCCTTCCAGTATCTGAAGGGGGGCTATAGGGATGCTGGGGAGGGACTCTTCATTAGGGACTGTAGTGATAGGACAAGGGGTAATGGGTTAAAACTGAAACAGGGGAAGTTTAGATTGGATATAAGGAGGAAATTCTTTCCTGTGAGGGTGGTGAGGCACTGGAATGGGTTGCCCAGGGAAGTTGTGAATGCTCCATCCCTGGCAGTGTTCAAGGCCAGGTTGGACAAAGCCTTGGGTGAGATGGTTTAGTGTGAGGTGTCCCTGCCCATGGCAGGGAGGTTGGAACTGGGTGATCTTAAGGTCCTTTCCAACCCTAACTATTCTGTGATTCTATGATTCTATAATATCAAATCTCAGGTCATAAGGGGCAGTGAAAATTCAGCTTCTGCAGGAACAAGAAGGTTCACTTGCTGTCTGGGTCAGATTTCCACTTGGATAGGTCTGTTCTGACAGGTTGAATTCCCTGGCTAGACTCACCTATTAGGAATGGTCTTGTGATGGTTCACCGAGATGCAGTTCAGTATGTGTGAGGGATGAAGGGATCTACACTGCTTGGCAGAGTCCTGGGCAGCAACTTCAAGGAGTCCTTAAAGTGAATGAAGTGAATGCATGCAGAACAGAGCACTGCTAGGGACAGTGGAAAAGATGCCCTGAAAAACACAGGCTTGGAGTTAACCCTGTTCTTTCCCAGACCAGCTGGGGTTCCAGCGTTAGCCTGTGGCTGGAGGTGCTGCTGCTCTGAATGGCACTCTCATGAGAGAATCATTTCTGCAAAGGGAACTGGAACTGCTGAAGGTTTGCAAAGCACGTGGCAGGGTGCTGGAGGTGTCCTAGAATCCCAGACTGGTTTGTTTTGGAAAGGAACATAAAGCTCACCCAGCTCCAACTCCTGCCACGGGCAGGGACACCTTCCACTAGAGCAGCTTGCTCCAAGCCCCTGTGTCCAACCTGGCCTTGAACACTGCCAGGGATGGGGCAGCCACAGCTTCTCTGGGCACCCTGTGCCAGCGCCTCAGCACCCTCCCAGGGAAGAGCTTCTGCGTAAGAGCTCATCTCAGTCTCCCCTCGGGCAGGTTAAAGCCGTTCCCCTTTTCCTGTCCCTACAGGCTCTTGTCCCAAGCCCCTCTCCAGGTTTCCTGTTAGCCCCTTTAAGTATAACCTAAGTTACCTTTAGGCATTCCTTAATGATGTAGTTGTCTTCCATATGAGGCTTTTCCCAGCTCTGTTGCACAAGGACATGGGATCTGCTGTAACGTGCTGGAAAGACCTGAGCATGGGGGAGGTAGGGGTAGAAGAGGGAACCTTGGCATTGCCCTTTGTGATCACCACAGCAGCAAGACAGACCTGGGACACGGGACCCGCTTGGGATCCTGTCAGTGCTCAGCTGTGCCCTTCTGTGTCCTCTGCAGGCCCTGTGATGAGAACCACCCCCATGTGAAGCCCGATGCGTACGTGACCAACCTGGCTGAAGCGGTTGACATCCTCCTCCAGCAGCTCTAAACCTGATGGCACCATGGGTGATTGGAAGGAACAGGGCTGAGGCTGCACAGCAGCCCCTCCATGAGGCCACCTCCTCCTCTCCCACCTCCACTTGACATTAACAGCCCCAGCCCCAGCCTTGCCCGGGCTGGGGAATCCTTGAATACCCAACGGAACAGGACTGAAATGATGGACTGAACTCAACGTGAACACCAGACCTGTCCTCCTGCGCCTCTTGAGTGTCCTCCCCTTGGGGCCAAGCCCCTGCCAGCTCTCCCACAGTGCCAGGCTCTTCCCTGGCTGCCCAAGGGGAGCCCTGAGGGTAATGCTGGGGGTGGGCTGAACCCCCTTTAACTCTTTATTCACACCAGGGACCCAGCCTGGGGGTGCCTGGGTGGGAAATGGGGTCCCAGCCATTCACAGACAGCTTTTCCTGTTTCTCTCACCCATACTGTGCCTTTTGAGGTGCCTGGGATTGGATTGGGGTGTCCTTGGAGGGTGATGGAGGCCACCAAGCCCTGGGTTGGGGTGCACCGGTCCAGCCCCATTCTGTGGGGTCCCATTTGTGCCTCTCCTACGCACAAACACCCTTGTGGGGCAGGGGACATCCCCGATCCCTTGGCAAGCTGCTAACTGTGTTTCTCCCATGATAAGCCCCTGTTTGGCACTGCCCTGGGATGGGGCACGGGAATCTGGTAACACTGCGACACTTTATGGAGTAACAGTCAGGAATAAACCCCATCCTGTGGATCTGGGCTGTTTATCACTGTGTTCAGTTGGATTAGCCCTAATAGGGATGTTTAGAGGAATGTGAAATGCTTTTCACTACCTGGAATACTCTGGTGAGGGCCATGGGATTGATGGGCTTTTCCTTCCCTCCGTAGGGTCATCTCCCAGTGGCTGTATGTGTGGGGATGTGGGTTTCCTACCTCTTCCCATTAAAATCCCAGCCCTGTTGCCAGGGCACTGCTGGTGTTGAGTCCCACCCAGCTCCAGCTCATCCACCACTGGGTGCTCCAATGGGAGCATCACTGCATGGCACGGCACAGCATGGTACAGCTGGCCCTGCCATGGGGGCCAGCACAGGTGACTTGGCTCCAGCCAGTGCTGGTGCTCCTGGCATTACGTTTATGGTCCAAGCTGGGAACCAGTCTGTGTCAAGCACCAGCTCCATCATTCCTGCCAGGACTATAAATGCTGCTCTATAAATACGAGGTATAAATGTTCAGCCACTTCTTTCCTTCTCATAGTCATTGCTGTTCTCCTAGATACCAAAAGCACACAGGCACACACCACTCTCCCATGGCTGTAGCTACCTGAACCTGGTCTACATCCCCGTGGCTTGATCCTGCTCCAGCAGCACGTGCTTACTGAGACCCACTGCATCAGTTCAGCCCCAGCTCAGCCCCATCCTGCTGCCAGGGGAGTGCTCAGCATGGTCAGGCTGCCAATGATGCTCCATTGAGCCGGGACAGACATGAGACTGGGTTTTGGGCAAGACTTTGTGCTTTAGAGTGCAATGAAATGAGACCATTTGGGCTTTAACCTACTTCAGACCTCCCATGGGACCACGGAAAGGTGTGCAATTACATATACGTTATATGCATTTATATATACATACACTTAGGCAGCATGCTCTGGGCACTGTTTTCATACAGCTACTGCTTCCTGCATGTGCAAGGAGGAGGTACATGGCAATTCCAGCTATTTTTCCAGCATTCCCAACAGCTGAAGATGACCCTGGTCCCTGCAGGACACTGGGGGGATGATGCTCTGTGTTCCTGGAGCAGCCTGTGAGCACTGGAGGTGCAGGGCACCCCTTGGAGACGGCAGGCTAAGGAATTAAATCATGATAAAACAAAACACGTGGGAAAATGACCTTGGTGCATGTCTGAGGTCTGGTTTTGTACCTCTTACCCTCTGGGTAGTGGTTCAGCCAAAGGGGACGGTACCGACCACATCCATGCACATGAAGGATGCTGTGAACCCTGGATCAGCGTTAGGGCTGTGATGGACCACTGAGAGTTTCTTCTTTATCCCCTAATTCTTCCTTTGTATTCCATCACGCTCAGCCTGTCGCTTCAATCTGATTAAGTTTTGGCAGATAAACATCCTGCCATCTGTCATGAAACTCTGTGAACTGTTTGCTGGCTCAAGGAAACGCAGCAGTTTTCCTCTCGGATTTGCAAAGGGAGATTGCCCTGTTTCCCCAAGGATTTAGTTAACACCCTCCATGTGCCTTTGCTCTGCTGGGAGCTCCTGCCAAGCATGAGTTTAGGTTTTCTTTTAAGGGGAAGGACTTCATCTCTGTCCTTAAACACAAAGTGTAACGTGCTGCTTGGTGCTTAAATATTGACTTGGATATTGCTGTCGGCTCTTTGGCTGTGTTACAGCTACGTAACAGCCAGTCTCAGGTGGGGGGGCATGGGCTGCTCCCCCAGAGCATGAGCAGCAGCTCAAGGAGGGGATCCTGCCCCTCTGCTGCACTCTGGCGAGGCCCCCCTGCAGTCCTGATCCAGCTCTGGGGCAGCAGCACAAGAGGGACGTGGAGCTGTTGGAGCGAGGCCAGAGGAGGCCACGGAGATGCTGCGAGGGCTGGAGCAGCTCTGCTCTGGAGCCAGGCTGAGAGAGGAGACCTTAGATGAGCTTTAAGATCCCTTCCAACACAAACCACACTATGATTACATCTGCCTGCACGTGAACATCCCAAAATGCCCATTTCCAGATGCAACCCATGGCTGGGACTCCCATGCTATTTCTAACACAGACACCCCAACGGAGGGTCCCAGATGGGGGGCTTTCCCAACCCACACCCATTTTTGGGACACCATCACCACCCGCATCCCCAGCACCCATGGAGATGCCAAGAAGGTTCATCCAGACCCGCTATTGAATAGAAGGGCTCCTGCACCCATCAGACTCCAACCAGAGGGGCAGCACTATCCCCAACTCCCTCCTCCCCGCAGCCACAGGACAGCACGGAGAGGCGAGACACCCCCGGGGGTTATTGAACCAGGAAGCTTTATTTACACAGTAAAAGTAACAAGCAATTTCCTGAGATTGAGCTGCTCTAGTGCAATCAAGTCATGGAGGGGTACGAGTGGGCAACCTCCTCACCAGTGGGGAGAGGACACCGGCACCTCCTCCCCGGACACGCACGTCCCGCTGTGCTTGTGCAATTGCCAGCGAGACTGCTTGGCTACTACAGGTCATAGCTTCAGAAGGCTTTATTCCTTCCTTCCTTCTTCTGCATGGGTTATTTTTTGGCCATCCTCTTCTTTTCCAGTCATTCCTCGAACATCAAACCCATCGACGCCGTGAAGCACTGCTACGATCCTACAACATCCTACGTAAGTCTGGTTAGCCTGTTCAGCCAGGAGCTTTCAAACAATGCACTTGAAACACAACTTTATCCACCAGCCAAAGAGGCTCTGCTATAACGTGGAAATATTACAATCTATTTTACAAATACTTCTTTAGCTGTTTTGCTTTGATTTCCGTGTAATCGCAGCTCAAAGAGCTGCATCTGCAAACACACCATGTGGGCTATGACATTGCCTATTAAAACCCCTGTTCTTTTGCAAGGTGATGAACCCTTATTGCTGCTGGCACAGCTGCTGCTGGCCAGACTGGGTCACGTCTTGTACAAGTCACCATGTCTCTTCACAATCACGAGCCTGTTTTAGCTACCTAGCAAGGAATAACATCCCTTGTCTGCATATTACTTTAATATCACATTCTGGCAGCCGGCAGGAATTAACCGGGGAGGGGGTGTACCAATACAAAAGCACCTGTGGAATAGGTGAAGTCCATTACAAACCAAGAGCAGGATGCTCTGCTCTGCTGCTGTGGGCACAGGGATCTCCTGGTGCCAGGGAGCAATCGGACTTTACAATCAACAGGATGTCCCCTGAATCTGAGGCACGTACTATATTATATTTAATCTTTTTCATTACTTTATTTATATATATATTTATATATATATAAATCCACAAATGTTTTTTTTTTACCTCTACAAGAGAGAGAAAAGAAAAAGAGAGAGAAATTTAAAAAGTAAGGCTTTCTTAAACTGAGAATAAGTACATGAAATCATACAAACCCAACAGAACACCCAACAGGACACCACCGTGGCCTCAAAACCGTGGCTGACTGTAGTCTGTGCCTACGCTAACGTGCCCAGTCTAAGGCCATGACTCCTTGGAGAAGCATCTTTAGTAAGGCAAACGGGTTGTGCTGTGTGTAAACTGAATGCTACGGCTATGGTGAGTACAGCTGGGGAGTGCTCCATCGCTCACCTTCCTACTGGTGGGCTTAGCATGGCACCGGTAGCAGCCCTTGGAAAGAAAACGGGAGCCCTTAGGAATTACAGCCCCGGTGATGCAAGAACCCATCCCAAGCTCTGTGGCAGCAGCCGGACCTGGAGTGGGGTGAAATTGCCCTTTTTCAGTCAATTGGGAAGAGATGCCAGGGATGTGTCAGTGGAAGGGGAGATGGAGCATTAGGAAGACTCAAAGCTGAGAACCGAGGGGTGGCAGGAGGGCTCAAAATGATGCTAGGGTGTATTTTCCTTTTACTGATTGCACTAAGTGGTGCTTTAAGAGGCAGGGGCTGGAACTGGATGAGCTTTAAGGTCCCTTCCAACCCAAACCATCCTAGGATTCTATGAGTCCCCAAAATGAAAAGACATCCCTGTCATACCCAAGTATTTTGGGCTGTCTCTGCTTGCCTGGAGGGAGTGGATGTGGCCACTGCCATGAGCAAAACCTCTGTGGGTACAGGATAGGGATAATGAAGAGCTGGTGGGAGACGCCACACACATCCCAACCCACCATGGAAGAAAGTGCACTAATGTAACCAGGAATAAGGAATAAAACCTGTACCAGCGGCTCAGCCCTGTCTGAGCTACAGGCCCCTAAAACATTGCCAATGAGGGTGCTAAACCCTATTTTAAGGGGGTGCTAAACCCCCTTTTAACATCGCATCTTCAGTTGCTGTTGGTATCAAGGAGTTTTCTCCTTTCTCGCTTTGCAGAGCTCAGCAACTAAATCCTGAGCACACGAGAACCTGCAGAAGATGCTGGAAGCCACTCGTACAGCTTTCCTGGAGCTTCAAACAAACAGAAAACTAGAACAAGAGGGAGGGAAACAAAAACCTATGCGTCCTTCTAAACCTGTTAGCAAGGGGACAGCTTATATTGATCAAAGAGAATTCGTATGGTACAAACACAACGGTCACCACTTTATCTGTGCTTAGAAAAGGCACAGAGAGAGGAAAAGCTTTCAGTGCTGCTACCTGGGGTTTCAGCCTTTGGCCAGCTGACTTTGTCAAGTGAGCCCGTGCTGTGCCCCCCTTCACAGTGAGACAGAGCCACAAGCCAGGGCAGCAGCTGTGCCTCAGGTAGCAAAGAGGGCACAGCCACTGTGAGTGGGTGCACGGTCCAGCCCTGCTCCAAACTGGGTGCTGGGGAGGGTGGCACCGAGCCTGATCGGGTCTTTGTCACCAATGGGTTTGAGAGAGGGGGCTGGGAGGAAGAAAAATAGGGAAGACTGAGAATATAGGGAAAAAAGGCATTTCAGCATCCTCGGGTTGTGCCCACCAAGTGCGGCTGCGGATGCTGCCCCGCACGAGGGCCAGGGGTCCCTTTAAATCCTCATCAGGAAAAGGAAAATAAGGAAAAAGAAGTAAAAATCCAGCTCTCACCAATATGAAATCTAAGCAAAACTCTTCACTTGTGATTTCCTCCTCATGGCACTGCCGGGGACGTGGGGTGCTGGGGCTGCACAGGATGCTGCAGAAGGAGCCGCAGCCTCCCCTGCAGCCAGTGCTTGGTTTGAAAACCTCAATATTCTGGTTTCCCCCCATTTTTCCAGTCCCACGGGTGGTGGTTTCTCCTTGTGCATCCCTTTAACAAGCACAGGGGAGCGTGGCCAGCCCCATCAGCTCCAACCCTAGGTTGGTAAACGCCATTTACTCACTAAAGGCGAGCTGTTGGCCATCCCCATGCCTGGTGTTCCCAGTTGGACAAGGCAGTTCCCAGTCGGACAAGGCAGTCCTACCCACCTAGCTGAGCTCTGGCTACAGTAGTTACAAAGAATGTCAAGATTTACACACGCATGCACACAAATTGCTCTAAATACCTGATGAAGTTTTGGCAAAGCTGCTTCGTCCCCTCCGGAGGGGAGCAGTGGCAGGACCCCACAGCCCCATTGCTGGCAGTGGGGAGCCCTGCCCGGCTCTGCTGACACCCGGGCGAGAGGACCCGCTCCCTCTTCAGTTGTTCTCTATCTGCTCGATGTCAATCTCTCCATCCAGCTGGAAGAGGCTGTCGGTGCCGGTCCCAGCGCCGTGCCATGCTGCAGCATCCTCCTCCTCCTCACAGGACAGGTCATCCCTGCTGGCCCGGTGATCCTCGCCGCGCGAGCGTGGAGGCTCCGGCACTGGGGTGCAGGCGGGGGTCCTGCCCGGCATCACCTCCGGGGAGCAGGGGGCTGCAGGCCATGGATGCGGGGCTGGGATGCGGCGGGAGCCGTCCTCGGCCGCGGCGCTAAGGCAGGTGAGGCTGTTGAATGTCTGTCGGTTCTGTGAAGGGAAAGGGGGAACAGGCAGGTGAGATGGTGAGAGGCTGTTCTGAGCTCTTCAACAACGTGAATGTCTCCAACAACGCCATTTATTACACTAGCAAAGAGGAACTTACAGGCACAGAATGGTTTGGGTTGGAATGGATCTTAAAGATCAGCTGGTTCCAGCTTTCTTTCAGTTCAAAGCCATTCCCCTTGGCCTGTCCCTACATCCCTTGTCCCAAGCCCCTCTCCAGCTTTCCTGCAGCCCCTTCAGGCACTGGAGCTGCTCTCAGGTCTCCCCTTCAGGAGCCTTCTCTTCTCCAGGCTGACCCAGCCCAGCTCTCTCAGCCTGGCTCCAGAGCAGAGCTGCTTCAGCCCTTGCAGCATCTCCATGGCCTCCTCTGCACTCACTCCAACAGCTCCAGGTCCCTCTTGTGCTGCTGCCCCAGAGCTGGATCAGGACTGCAGGGGGGTCTCCCCAGGGCACAGCAGAGGGGCAGGATCCCCTCCCTGAGCTGCTGCTCAGGCTCTGGGGGTGCAGCCCAGCACACAGGGGGGTTCTGGGCTCAAGCACACACTGAAGCTGGGTCATAGGGGAGCTTCTCATCATCCAGCACCCCCAAGTCCTTCTCCTCAGGGCTGCAAACTTCAGCCCCATCAAGTATCTGGAGCTCATGTACTGCTAACCCCCTGCTGTGGCTCGTGGCTCTCCTCCCTTATTAAAGACCACGCGAGGTCAGTTCTCTGTCCCTCACCTCTCCAACAAAGAGGCTCCATGGCTGGTTGCCCCGGCCAGAAACTTGATGCAGTTTATGCACTGCCACGACTTCAAAACACTTCCAAGCTCTGACAGCGCTGAGGAGCTTGCGGGCATGCAGAACCCTTGTCAGCAGAGCACACACCACCTCCCGAGATGCCGCCTGACCACAGGCGTGCTCACCGGGCAGGGCCTGCCTCTTACCAGGCTGGTTTTGACAGAGCAAACAAAACCCTTATTAGTGAGTGCCAATGGAAATAACGTGGCCAAGCCACTGGTGTGTTTGCAGAGCGTGTGCTTGGAGCAGGAGGAGACCGTGGGCAGCTCAGCAGCTTGTGCAAGCCTCTCACAAGAGCCGGTTTGCAAGCAAGTGTCTGATGGTTCACTCACTTTACACTTCACATCTGGGCATGTCCCAACCAAAGGGCCTGAAGGTGAGCAATAAACAACTGGGGGGAAGCAGCCCCCTCGATAGCCAAAGCTATTCACCTGAGCTACAGCCCCTAAAACCACAGCAATAAATAGCTGTCATAAGCACATGAGCATCAGCGCTTCCCTCCTCCTTACATTTCCCCTCCTGACATATGATTTACATGCAGTAAGAAACATGAAGCGTATCTGAAGGATATCTTGAAGTAATGAAGCTCTGGGTGAGGGGATTCCTTGCTTTTAAAGATCCCAATCTCAGGGGGAGGCTTTTTTAGTGTCATAAAATCCTAGTATGGTTTGTGTTGGAAGGGGCCTTAATATAGGTTAGACAGATGTTGTTAAACTAACACGGATGTTGGGTTGCCTGTGGATGGCAGGAGGGTGTAGGAGAGCTCTTTGGGTCTCCTGCACTCATTTACCCAGGGGAAGTCAAAGCCTGCTGCTGTTTCCATCACACCTTATCTCCAAGAGCCTGGGCCAGACTGAAGCTGCAGTAGCCAGAACACTGGTACCCAACAGAGCATCGCTCCATGGAGTGACATTGCTGCTGCCTGCATCTGCTCCAGCACAACTCAGGACCAAACATGCAGCAGCCTGAAGATACAGCCTTGCTCCAAACATTCCCAGCAATGTTCCTGGGAAATTTATGCACATCTGCTTAAGGGCTTTTTTTGCTTTCAAATCCAGGTAAGCTGGGACTAACTCCACTGAAATAACTCACCCCAGGCTGTGAATGAGGCAGAATCAGCCATTTACATCCTCCCTGAGGATGCAGGTCAAAGCTCCTCCTACTTCACACTCTTAAGAAATCAGAGGTACTTGTGATGAATTCACACCCACTGACCACATGTCACCAAGAGACTTTAGACACTAAATGACACACTATGGTGAAACGAGTCCTTGCAGGAGATGATACAGAAGCTGCTGTAACTGAAAGGAGAAGTTCTTGGTGCCCAAGGAGGAGCTGGCCATTGCCCAAGCTGGTGGGGATACATTTCCCATGGCCTTTAGTCCCTGAAACCTTCCAAAAGCCCATAACCCCTAAGCCCACATGAAAAGAACATGCATTTGTCCTTTACAAATGCAACTGCCCCCACGTCACCCTGTTAAACACAAGCCGTGCCTCTCCATGCCGCCTGTCTTCCAGGTGCTGAATGCCTAACAGCTTCAAGCAGAGATCTGCACACTGTGGTTAATGGACAACCTGTAATTACCACTGCAGCCGGAGAAGGCCTGAGGACATAGCAGAAGTATTTTCTAAGTACTCAGAAAACATCTGCAAGCATATTTTCAACAGTGATTTAGGCACTTGAAAGCCCAAGCCTCCTGAAAGTCAACAGCCCTCTCAGAAGTGCAAATCCCTTCTACAAACAAAACTCTGGCACTTCTGAGAACCTTCATTTTCCTCCTACTAAAGGAGCTCATCTCCCAGCCCCGGTGCCTCCCTGGGCTTGGTACCCAGGCACGGGCATGCCAGGATGCTGCACAGCACTTCAGAGAAGGAGATGGGTGATGTCCATAATGATGAATGAAGGAGGATGCAACCTAGAGACCAACAAAACAGGCTCACGGCATGCTCTTCCCATCCAAACAGAAAGTGCTTCCAAGCTTGGACATGTCTTGGAGAACAGCCATGAAGGTACTTGACTTCCAGGGATATTTTGCATTTTATTGGACTTTGGCAAGATAACCAAGCCAACATTTTCCCTGCTCAAATCCACACACGCTGCAACCCAGTATCTTCCACGTGCAGCGCTGAGTCACAGAATCATTAGGGTTGGAAGGGGCCTTTGGAGATCATCTAGTCCAAGACCTGGAGTCATTCCAGGTAGTACTTTTACCTTCCCTTGAAAGAGGATGGAAAAACCCTTCCGATGGTGCCATTGCTCCCAGTGCTGCAGCTCCCAGAGGAAGGCCACGTGCGGAGGCGCTCCCTGTGACGCAGGTTTGACGGTGATCAGCTCGGAAAGCAAGTTTCCACAGGCACTGGCTGTGGCAAGATCCCATGGCTCACCTTCCTGGTGTGGGGAGTTGCAACGGTGCATGGATGAACGCGCTGGGGAATGGTACCCTCAAGATGAGATAACCGGCACTGGCATTGCCTGTGCTGGCTGTGGATCAGCCACCGCCATCAATGCAGTGTCTGTTCTCAACCCATCAGGAGTTTTTTACTCATATCCTAATTTATTGGGTGAACCCAGCGCGTTCTGCAGTGCTGAGCTGCAAAACTGGGCAGTCGAGTCCTCCATTGAGATGAGCCAAAAAGCAGTCTGGGTGGCACAATGTGGTCCTTGTTTTCCCATGGACAAGGCAGCCCTGGACCCCTCTAAGCTTCTCCAAAACCTTGTCCTTTTGTGCCAGACCAACCGATATCAGGGTGTCGAGCATCTCAAACGCTGCTGGTCTCAAGGAAACTGTGGCAATGCAGACACCATCATGGATCTGACGCATGGAGCAGTGGCCAGATTGCTTCTGGCCATCCTGACCTCACCCAGCAAGCATCTGTCATGTACCTTCCACCCAAAACACCTTTACTCACATCCACAGTAACCCATTTAGGACCATCTGAGGTGCTGTTTTTTAGTCCCTAGCTCTCCCCAAAGCTTCATGGACGATTCCTCAGGGAAAGGAATAAAATGGGATGATGCTAAAGCAACCACCTGAAAAATCATCTATACATACAAATAAGAAACCCTTGGCCACTTGGGATAAGACATGAGGCTGTCAGATGACCTCTAGAACAAAGCCCTTCCTGAATGGTGGTGACCAAACTTAGGGTACATCTCCTTCCTTCAGTGATGCTCCACACTGTGCAGGGACCCCAGCTAAAACGCAGGAAGGCTGCAGGAGCTCATTCATCCATCCTTTTCCTCCCTTCGAGCATGTGTCCCCACTGGGGACAGGGTCTGGATGCTGGCAGCCCCAACAACAAGCGAACTGAAGAACACAGCAACATGTATCACAAAATCCCCAGCAGTGAGCTTTTCCCTGATCCCCATCCCTGCAGACACAGTGCATGTGTTGGAATGAACACTGGCAGGATTGTGATCCCCACGGTCATCCCAGCTTTTGCGCAAGCACTCTCTGTGTCATTCCACCCTGCCAGGTGACTGCCTGGGGAAGGTGTAACACCACAAGCTGTCAGCACCACCGGCCTGACCTACCAAGCTGTCAGCACCTCCTGTGTGCACACTGGGCTACAGTTGCTTCATAGAGCTCAAAATAACCCGGTGCCAGAAGGAAAGGGGGAAGCGGGCAGTGAGCAGTGATGCTCTGTGCAGGGATGATGCGCCTGTGCCAGCCCTCCCCATCAGCAAACACACCTCTGCTGGGGCTCCTCTAACAGGCTTGGGTTTAAATCACTCTCCGAGGCAAACATCGGTAAAACACCTTCAACTTATCATCTATTACCTGCCACTTGTTCATTTCATACAATCCCAGACTGGTTTGCGTTGGAAGGGACCTCAAAGCTCACCCGGTTCCAACCCCCTGCCACTAGAGCAGGTTGCTCCTCGTTTTCAGGCTCTTCCTTGCTCTTCTCTTCTCTTTTGCTAAGGAAGAGTATTTACATAGCCCTGATCCTAATTTTGCCGTAACAGGCACCAGTGCTTAGATGGTGCATGGGAAATCTTCAGCTTTAGCTGTTTGGTGTGAAAAACAGCTTTCAAGAGCAGGCTCAGAAATATCTATTATCCCACCACGTCACTTCACACCACACTGTTAAACAAACAACCCAAAACAAGGCAAGAAGGAGGTTTTAAGTCAGTAGTATTAGCGCTGCCTTTGGAGCCTGGGGAGTTAATTTGGGTTTAGTGCAGTTTTGCTCTTGTCTT